ACGCTAGTTATTCGAGTGCGCAACGTCACCGTGAATCTAGTTGGTATGTTTGATATGGATTTCCGCATTCGAAACGCATGTGTGTACGTTTAAATGCGATGGAAAGGTTTATTTGGGAATTAACTATCTCCCAAGGAGTGAAACCCACACCGAACATCATCAACAATGCCTGGTGTCTGTGAAAAACCGAATGGGCTAATCCAAACATTCACCATCTAAAAAGCACATGTGTACACTTTGCTGTCAAAGCTTCATTGGCATTTGAAAACATTTGTTGGAGTTAATGATAAAATGCGTAGTATTCACGGACTTACTCTAGTTGAGCGACTCCATAACTTCGAATGTCGGCAGCCATAAACACAACATACAAACAGATTGGGCAGTGTATAAGATACGGGAGCTAGGTGATTTATACTAGATTTCATATGGTGAGATTTGTTTTGTTGATCACGACAACCAAATCTGTCTCCGAACTGCTGAACTAAAAAGTCACAAACCACATCTTTCATAATGGAATGCACTCCGAAACCACACATTCTCTGTACAAAGGTTAATCAATCTTTAGAAGCAGTTTTGGGAGCCAGTAGGCCGGAAGATCCTTGAATGGTTGTTTTTATTTTGGTAGGAGAAATGATCTGTTGGTATACAACACATGACTCTTCATGAGACAAACAACTGTCAATGCAGACAAGTACTTTTAGAATGGTTTTATCGGTTGATGCATAGATTTCACTTTAGTGCGATATTAGATGTTTATCCTGGGGCAAGAATGCTCGTGAGCTACAAATAAATCAAGTTAGAACTAACAGACTGCACAAATGGACACTAATCCGATTAGTTGAATTTGGATTCTTCTTTTTCTCACCCTGGTCGCCGCCTAACCATTCTTTTTTTTCATCGTACGCCCGGGTACAATCGACAATGGAAGAAACAAACGGCAGAAACACCGCATAAACCAGTAAGCAAATCGCTGGAGATTCAAAGGAGCCGAAGACTAGTTGCCCGTGTGGGAACTGGATGGGATCAGAGTGAAGCCGACTACCACTGAAATTCAGCAATGGTGGCGGTGATGTTGGTGGAAGTAAGGAGCAAATTCCAGCGATTATGTTTCAGAACACGTCGGTAACAATAACCTTAAGCATTTGACCACCAACGTCCCGATTTCGATATTTATATCACAAACCGTACATGGTCTAAACAATATCTCCATTTTAACAACTTTCTTTTAATGGGATTCATGGTTGATCTAGTCCGAACGCTTTTCTCGGCGCGACAAATTTGCACAGCAGATACCCTGAATAACGACTGGCAGAAAATGAAAAAGTCAACAATCTAACGGATCAGTTCAAGTGTGGATGCTGGGTCATGTATGTTGTGTTTGGTCTAAGCGTATGAATGACACGAGCGACTCTTGCTTAACCCCCAACGACAACGCGGAGAGAGAACACAGGTTGAGACACAGTCAGCGTGTATTCTTCGATAAGTTATCGATATGCCAAAAAAATATAGAACTAATCGTGCATACGAGGACGGCGCAGTGACGCACTAATCAGATAGTGTCCTTGACATATCGATTGATCGATTGGACAAACATTGGCTGACACGTTCTGTGATCATCCAATCAGGTTCAGCCTGTCTGGAGCGTTGGGAGCGTGCGTGTGGCCTGACTGGGAGGCGTGCGCGATCGGACGGGTTTCTTAGGCTCCGTCCTAACAATATATATCAGCGGAACGGGGAGATAACTTCAAATACGATGGAAATGTTTATGATAACCGACAAAGAGCATTGGAAAGCTGTTTCCTCCTGCTTGGGACCCCTTGGCGGTACTTAATTTTTGTGCCACTGTCGGGATTCGAATCGCGAACGTTCGGACTGGATCTTCAAACCCTTACCACTAAACTAAACAGTCGACAGTCATTAGTTTGTGCGAATGGCTCAATCAATTTAGAGTATAAAGCTTGTATTAGCCTATTCAGTTTTTTACAGGCACCAGGCACTGTTGATGATATTCGGTGTGGGTTTCACTCCGTGGGAGATCGCTAATTCCCGACGAGGTAATGCATTGAAATGCGATGGAAATGTTTGTGATAACCNTTCCGTAGATTTGTACCACAAAGTTGGTAAAAGAACCTCATACTCTGTTTGGCCAACTGAGTTAGAAGATTCTGTGGGGAGAATATGCAGATTGATGAACTCTGAAGCATGCGGAATACCTTCAGCCAGGAAACAAAGACACGAGGGATTTCCAAAGAGGGTTGTTATTGAGAAAAAGGCTACTTAAATCTGTATGCGATGGAAATGTTTGTGATAACCGATAAAGAGCACTAGACAGCTGTTTCGTCCTGTTTTTGGTCATCAGTAGTGCGTACATTTTTTGTCCCTGTCAGGACTCGAACCGCATTTGAATGCTGAATGAATGGGGAATTAACGATCTTCCAAGGAGCGAACTCTACAGCCAAGACCATCAAGAGTGTCTGGTGCCTCTTAACAATCGAACGGGTTAATTCAAGCTTGATAATGTAAATGGGGAGATAACTTCTTTACGAAGTAACCGAGTGCATTCCAGTCTGGTTAAAGAAAACAATGCGTGGGAACTCTGGAAGTGCGATGTCTCCGATGATTGACTGGGAGTTTGTCTCTTCTCAATGATTTCACACAAGACCGAGGGTGTTTGTATTTCTGCAGACAGTTCATATAGAATCGGAAAAGCGCTGTTTCACATGCAATAGAATATCCTAAATCCTCCTCGTGTATATACTTATTTCAATGCACTTGTGGTAGCAAGTATATTGGAAGAACTGAGAGACGCTTGGCCACTCGGATTTTAGAACCCGTCCCGAGAACTCTAGCACTCAATGGCTCGAAGATCCCCTCCAGCTCTATTACCCGCCATATATTGGACTGCAAATTTTGCATCGGTCCAAAGCAAGCATTCCGGGTGTTAAACCGACAGAAAACGGGGCGGTTGTTACGGCTTGCTGAGACCGTGCCATTCGTCATCACAAACCAGACCTCTGCAAACAATTAGACTTTGTGGCCAGCCTAACCCTCCCATGGTAGGGTTGTCACCTTGATCCAGGTCGATGAACATGTTCTCCCACCCTATCCCTCTGCTCAACCGAACTGCGATTGGCGACCTTTGACCTTCGCACTGATTTTTCCTAGTCGAGTGTTTTTGATATTTGAAGAATTTTCATTGTCCCGATCGAACTTTCACATGGATGTTTGTACACAGCTGAAGAGATAACGTGAAACAGTTGAATTCAACCTGTCCTGTCTCAGTCAACTTTAGAACTATAGACGTCAATGCGATGGGATCCAGGATATATTCTGTTAACCTGTAAACCTATGTATAAAAAAGATTTCACTTAATCCTAAACCTTACCGGCCAACCAGACTGGCTGTTTTCGAGATACAAATCTAAGACACTTCCAAAATGGGAACAAATAATATCAAAATTTGATATTATTATCCGTTAGATAGCTGTAAGTAAACTTGTGGGTAACAGGCTCTTTTGATGATTCGTTCACTGACCAGTACATCCCATTTCACAACATAATGTTTTGTGGAATCATCGCAAACTGAGAAAAATTGTATTTTCATACGATCAGCGAATGTCGTTCACACTTTGATCACCACACACGCATTGGTTTGGTTCATTGGGGCAATTGAGATAATATGATCATGTCCAGTGTGGTGTCATTCACGGCAAACTGAGTGCTCATGGGAATCGTTTGGGAGAACAAATGGGCAAATTCCGATAGATTCCGCTGTGATTAAAAGATAACTCCTCATCCCTTTTATTTATATCTGTGATCTAAATAAATGGGGTGACATCAGACGACTACATTAACTACGTGGTCTGACAGCACTGTGTGAAACGATCGAACTATTAATGTACACGGTCACGACACCCTTCGGTTAAACCGGGTGGCACTCTTAGTCTCTTTCATATGAACGTCTGTCCGTGTGGCCGATTCACCTTTCCCCATGAGAACAAGAAAAGTAATACACAAGGAAAGAGACAACAGAAAAAGAAACTATCTTTGAGTTCAAAACGTAAAAGCAACCTGGAATGGAACAGTGTGTAGCTACGCTGTAATTAATTATCCATTCCACCAGTTGAAGTTAGTTTACATGTTAACAGCGCGTCAGTGATATCACTCCCACAAAGCAAGACACCAGTATCTTTCTAACAGTAGTACCCTTGTATGATAAATGAGCGATCAAAATCTGCATGCATGACCCCCCCCTCTCTTTGTTCCGAAATTAATTGCTAATAACACTCGGTCTCCACACAATATACTACATATGTAAGCCCCTGGTTTAGGAAGAACACAAGTCACTGAACTGGAACAGGCTGACCGTAATTATGTCAAAACAATTTACACGGTCAGTAGATGAAATACAGATCAATAAACATTGGTCTTGCCAAAATGGCGAAGTCGATAGCGAGTCCGAACAGCCACGTGATTTCCTATGCGAGTGAGCTGCGGCATAATTTGAACTCTCCTCCCACATTACGGTCATTTCCCCATCCACCTCATAATGACCCTAACCAGTGCGTGTGTGATAACCAAAGCGTACGCAATATTCTGTCGCGGAATTGAAATGTTATTGTTTCTCAGTTTGTGATGAAAACTTGTTCTACAAACCGAATTACATCAAGTATGATGTATTAGCCACCGAAGGAATCACCGAAAACGAGCGTATTTGCTGGTGTATTTTCACGGTGCGTAGCAATGACATTGTCGGATAGTTAGGGAATTACTAACAGAAATGAGAAATGTCGATGTTCATAATCTCCTTTGGGAGATTAATTTGAACCCAATGAGGTCATAATGCATTTCTTGGACCGCTGGATGAGTATTGCTGAATGAAAATGAATAAAAAAGTGCTTTGTAATAGATCCATAACCAATCTTCCATACCCTATGCCCAATTTGATTTTCAACTCCATCCCACTTCCCAATGTTATTTCAGACTTACTTCCAGAAAGACCGATTGGTTTGAAATTGATTTTTCCATCAAATGATTCCAAACTAGGCAGCTCTTCGAATTCACAAACAATTCCGAGTATTCACGTATCCGGTCCGAATTTGCAATGGATTCCGCAACAGTTGGATCAAAATCCATCATACTCAGTTCCCGTTTTGCACTATCGAGTCGAGTATCAGTTAGTTCCCTCCTGGTCTGTGACTGAACGCGAGGAAAGATGTGCACCGCCCGCCTTCCAAGAAGCTATCAATCAATGGGCCACTCTAGCCCCCGTGCGAGCACCAGAGCACCGGTTTTGGTTTCGCATGCCAGCAAACTCGTCTAAGACCGAATCAGTGTTCAGTCCAACCGATCTGGAATCCTGCTTCATAAAGCTCAATTTGCGAGTGCGTAGCTACAGTATGAATGCAGAAAGTGAACCATCATCCACTTTGTATATATCACTACCTCTCTTGGGTAAGTCAATTTGCCAGTACATCTTCATTGTGGCTGCCTGTACTCACAACAACGAGAAAACATTTCACGCGTCTGTGCCCATTTCTTTAGCCCACAATACGGGAAACTCCCGAAGCGATTTTGCAGTATCTACCATATGTGTGATATTAATAGGGACAACAATCGCCTGTGCATAAGTTACATTTGTTGCCACACACTTCAGTCCAGTTCAATTTGTACAACCACTAACCATGGACTTTTGTGTGCCAGTTTTGATTGCTGCCTTCTGGATGCTCTTTTAGATGAACCCGTAGGATAAAGGTTGCAAAGCCGAAAGCAGAGTCGGAGAGAAAATAGGGGGTTGCAGTGGACGAAGGTTGCAAAGAAATTGAGACGCTGTACGAACGCCCATGTTTACAATACTCAGTGTCTCTAACCATTGGTTACAATGATCCCGAGATCCCCATCCAGGGAGCCTAACGCGATCTATATGACCGATTCTCCCGGTTGGGGTTTTCATACCTTTGTGCCAGATATTACTTTGACCACTATATGCTTTCGTCTACCCGCTATCTGCCTCGGCAAACATCGCTCGCCGTGGCAACCTTTTTGATGGCATGTGCAACACATGTCCCAAACAGCGTAATCTATGGAGGTCGACCACTTACTCCAGTGGATGGCGGCGATTACTTAAACTCCGAGCATAACCTCAGCATTACTTATTCCGTTGCCCCACCCGATTCATCCAACGCTGTGGAGGCAGCAGTGTTCAAACACCAACAGTATACCTTCATCCTGTTTTCTTAACGGTCACGTTTCTTCGCTGTATAACAGAACTGGTCGAACTGCTACAGCATTTACAGGCAGCCGGAAGTCACGACGACTCTACAAATGTCTTAGGTTGACGAATACCGACTGAGCCTTCTGTATACCTGCTGACATATCATCCGTGATGCTTCCACCGGGTGAGATATAGCTGCCTAAATAACAAAACTTGTCCACTTTGTCTATTACTTCCCCAGTTAGAGCGAAAATAGGCGCTGGACCAACGCAGTCTTGTAGTAACATTTTACACTTGGAAGGTGCAAAAGGCATACTGAACCTGGTTACGCTGGTACTTAAGCTATACAGAAAAGCTTGCAACTTACCTGGATCTTCATTTGGCAGTACAATGTGTCTGCTTACTCCAAATCAGAAAGTCTACCACCTGGGAGAAAATTTATGCTACTAACCGCACACGAGGATATGGTTTTTTCAAGACTCAAAACTATCTCAAGATAAATAGAAAAGGAGAGAAAGGGTAATCCTGACGAATAGCAATTTCTGTGGTGAACTCGGGCGAAAACGTTCCGTAAGCTCGGACTCTACTCCGGCTGTTAGTGTAAACAGATTGAATTTTAGTAACAAACTTTTCGGATACCCCCTTCAGAGAGAGCCAGCGCCAGAGTTTGGGATGGTCGACTCAGTCGGAGGCCACTTTCAGATTGAGGAGGACAGACATGGTGGGTCTGCGAAAAGAAGGTTGGTGCTCCAGAATTTGGCAAAGAGTGGTTAATACAAGTTCTGCTGGGTCTAAAGCCAGCCTAATTATCGCGCATGCACCGTTTACTTGCAGCAGACAATCGACATAATATCATAACAGCGTGAAGTTTAGAGGCAATCATGATTAAACTAATCCTCTGTGGTTTTCACAGGAGGGTCTGTCATCTTTCTTTTAAATCAGTAAGATGACCGTCTCATACCATCCAGTTGGAACCTACTCTTTCTCCCTCTTGCCACACACATACAGAGAGAGAGAGAGAGAAACATACCGATCCAGCAAAAATCGTATTAAATTGATCCATAAGGGTATTTGCCAATGCTTAAAAATGCCAAACAATGTTCACATTTTTCTTCTTATCCATCCTAACATAATAGTTACTTTTTAGGAAAACACAAAACAGCAAACAGGTTTTTCTTACGTGATGTGTTCAACGGGCGATCCATTACTGTTGACGAGTTGGGGATTTGTGGTGAGTGCGAAATTTACGATAACACGTGGAAAAATCGGGCAACAAAAGGTGTAAGACTCTCACAGACATTGGTGACTTGATCTCTATTGTAAAGAATGTAGGGAGGGCGGGATAAGGAATCAGCTACACGACTGAGATGACAGTCAACGCATGCCGATCAACTATAACTTATTTTGAATATGTATTAAAGATGATCTGAAAGAATACATTATATAATTCCTCCTAGGCGTACAGAGGCTAAAATTGAAAAGGGAATAACTAATATCAGGCAAATTTACCACAAGATTTTGCTCTAGTCAGATTTGAATATTTCTTGATAAGTTCGACCTCGATCAGATTTTTTAGTCGCCCAAAGGATTTGAACAACGCTCTGGCCTTCCAACAGACGGAGACTTTTCATTGGCCCCTGTGACATAGAGAGCAGTTCAAATATAATAGGTCCGTGCGTATTATTCTCTAACCACATTGATAACCGTCCGGTTTTCTTTTGTTTCGAATAGGCCACTCTTTGTGTTTCAAACTTTGGGAGCTTTCCGGTCATGCTGTCTCATCACTGTTAGGGTACTGATCAGTCTGGGTAGACATTATGGTAGATACAAGCTGCAATTAGAACTTCTTTCGTATACTCCCATTAGTCGCAAATAAATGATATCTGGATAGAACGTGACCGAACAAAAATTAAGAAATTAGGGAAAACACAGTAGCGAACAAGCTCGTTCCCGGTACATCATCTACCTGCTAATACATCGCAAACTGTTTAGCAGGGGAGAGAAACCATGGCACAGTTGAAGAAGAGATAATCAGCATTCCAGTTCAATGACCGGATGATGTTGCTCACACTTTGGTCGTCACACATGCGCACTGGTTCGGGTCATTAGCGGTGGGTGGGGGGGGATGGCTGTCGTGTATGGTGTTGGTCATGGGAGACCGAGTGTTATTACGAATTATTTTGGGAAGGATACGTGGGGTGTAGGACAATTCCGACCATTTCCTCTGTGGCCAGAATGCGACTCTTAATCCTGATACTTATGGTGCACCCAGCAATGGGTTGAGCCCCCCCCCCTTAGGTTCAATTCTAGCTGACATTTTCATGGGTATTCTCTAAAGCAGAATGGATTGCACGATCAAGAAAGTTAGTGTACAAAAGATGTTGAGGCTTATTACCAGAGTTTATCAGTTTTCATCGGCAAGTAGATAAAAAATCTTGACTCAATGAACAGCATTTACCTATCTCTAGCGTGCAAGGGAAATCGGAATATGCAGGTAACCGCATAGCTCATCAGAGTGCCATTTAAAGAACTTTCTATGGTGCCATAGGACGTCTGTATCTTACAGCATGAAAGTGCATGGTTAATGGTTTCACAAACTGAACTTGAAACTGTCTTACAACCACCCGACACTATCAATCAAAAAGCGCATTCTGTTTTATTCCATCTCTCATTGTATTTGATTCTTTTACAATTGCAAACAACCATTAAACATTATCGGATATTGGAGAGTGCTTATAAACCTTCCTTCGTTTTAACCAATAGCCTTGAGTTTCTTCTGAGCTATTTGGTTTGTGGCCGGTCAGCCTGACCTTACACCTCACGAAATGCTGCTATACGACGAAGCATTTTAAATAGCTGAGGAAGCCCTACTCACTGTCTTCCAGGGATGGATGTGTTTTCCTACCAAAGTAAGAGAGCGGAACGCCAAATCCTGGGGGTTATAACCGGGTTGGTGAACCACAAGTAGTTCATGTAGGAGAATTGGATACAGGCTTAATCCCAAACCAACCGAGCAGAATGGTACAAACTACACACTCTCCTGGTTTTAGCATTGGTCACCGGCTTGATTGGATTCTCTCTAAAAGTCGCATCGGCCGATGAACTGGACAGTGGCTCCAAATAGTTTCTGGTTTTCGTACACCGTCCCACTTCTTTACGGGTCAGACTTTGGCTATGAATTCCCCATGAAAATCTACCTACTTTGGCCTAAGCAATCTGAAAGTATTCCGCACTCTAGCAACCAGTGGTTTGTTCAGCAAAACGCCTGGACTCAAAGGCATGTGGAATGTGATGCAGCAATAATATCTGAGCCGTTACGCAGTAATTGCTTATCGCTTTCTTTACTGTTACTTACCATCCGATGTGATATGTTTACGCCGGAGGTGAGCACAACAATCAGTTTCCTTTTGCATCGTATTGCCTTTCATTTTTATTCAATCCCCTTACTCTGGTATCATATTCTCACTAGCACAGATCCCTGACGTCTATCAAGCAAAAGAATATCACATAATATATACCGCTGAATCTCCTTCTGTTTGTTTAAGTGTTCGGTATTTTATGAGATTGATGGTTTCTACTGTACTTCACACTGCATTTGAGGTGCAATTGATTGCCAATACTCAGAATTTAAATTTATTTAGTTTCAGCTCCACCAAAAGCAATTGGAACTACCTCTACCGATGGTAAAACTCTTCCAAAAAAATAATAACTGGTTCAGTGACCTTTAGATTGAAATAATTTCACGTCAGGAACTCTGAAATTAAAATCAACACGGATTCAAACAACTGGGATTTTTCATGCTACACCATTTTTTTTATTTATTTCTCCTCTGTCTTCTTTAAAACAGACAAAATCCTACCAGCTCTGTATGACACGGTTATTTGGGAACAACGCACACTTCGCAATATTGCTGATTCAATCGCATTGGATGAACCAATTGTGGAGACCGCAGCCACCATCTCTTTTGCCAATGGCACATCATCGAGTGGGACTGAGTTCAGTGTACCAGAAAATGTTTGGTTTGGACTCAGTTATACGCTGCTCACCTTCCTGCTTCTCTGTTTCATCACGCTCATGGTTTACCTTGCCCGCCGCGCTTTTCGACGAGCTAGCAAACGGTCTCATGTTCCGTCCAATTATCCTCGTCGACCACCAGTCATTGAGGAACAACAGGAACCGAACAAGTACATTTTGACTAATCAAATAAGACCAACACCACCAATCAGTTCCGTGGAATCGCCCGAGTCCCCGGAGGAGAGCTTTTCTACCTACCATTTGACGTCCGATGCAAAACAGATACTCAGTAAAAGTAGCTGCTTTTGCCACGGATCACGTCCTACTCCAACTTGGAATAATCTGCGCAGATGTCCAGCGGAACAACACGGTTCTCCTTTGCTTACCAAATCAGAAAAGCTACGGTCAGATTTTTTGCATGAAGATGAACAATATTATATGATTCCGGTCAATACGATGTCCCCGCAACGGCACACCGTATGGACAGATACACACGGATTGCGGTCACCCACGACCAAAACGGCTCGACATCCACTGGAACAGCCTCCTTTTGAACCAGTCACAGGAAAACCAAACGGGCTATCAATTCGAGAAGGTGTTTTGAACTCAGGTATTGTTCTTTTACAACCGATTACGCTTGATGTTTTTATTCACCGCTTGGTTAGTAAAAACTGCGTCTTCATAAAGCGATCTTCCTTTGGATTTGTAGACAATTATTTACATGCCATCTTTCTGGAAGCCTATACTGCGAATTCACAGAGGACTTCATACTGGTCAAATCAGATCGAATCAGTGTCAATAGATGTGATTGACTTGAAGTATTGTTTAGACTAATCCGAACTATGGCGAATGCAAGCAGTCGAATGTAAATGTTAAAGAAAAAAATCGACTGCAAGTTTTTTAGCCGCTTCTTTCTTCTGGTAATTTCACAAGTATATATATATATAACATAATATTCGACAAAGAGATTTAATATGAATGCCAAATTGACAGACATTCATTCATTTACCTGTTCGCTTTATTGTGATCCAACCCCTTTGAGTATCTAGTCCGCTTTAAAAGATAAATAATCGAAATCATGGAGAACTCACAATGTAGTCTATGCGGTATCTGACAAAATTCCCATTATTTTGAAATACTGAACTTTAATATCCATGCAAGTCACTCCTATAGATTGGTTTTAGTTTACTGGAATTGAGTTGGTTTATTTTAGAAAATGGTGTACTTTTGTGAACGATGAAGAAATAACTTATATCATGGTTTTTGGACTTTAAAACACAGTTCATCATGGAATAATGATGTATTCTTCATAAATTTCTTTCTTCTTTGAACAATTCAACTGCACAATTGACATTAACCTCACTATGACCCATTTTGCAGTTTGTAAACCAGTAAATTCAAGTGTGGGACGGCCCAACAACAACAAAGAAACGGTTATACTGCTTGAAACTGTATCAGAAACCCCTTGTACGATGTCATCCTGGAATCCGTTAAGGTCAAAATGGTGAATGGGAAACAAGTGCCAGGCGTGAGAGGTCCACAGGAAACCGGACCGTTTGAATAGTAATCATGAAGATGACAGTCATACACTGCGCGCACACGAGAGCGAAACAGAGCGGTAAAAATATCAAAAAGTAATCACTGCCCAAAACAACCAATTATGCAGCACTCACTGATACCACACTTTTCTTACGCAGAAAATGGCGCGTATCCCTATAACCGTCTATTTTTCAAGTGTAATTGTGCCTAAATTCCCAGTGGGGGTCTCATTGATAGGCGTGTGACTGAATATATATATATATATATATATATATATATATATATATAT